CAAAAGCCAAACAGACAAGAGGTACGTTTGATTCTAGTGAAAATAATGCTAAAGGGACTTTCGATTTGATTCATTGTGATTTATGGGGTTCGTATTCTGTACGGGCGTCTTGTGGTGCCTCGTATTTTTTGACTATTGTTGATGATTTCTTGCGAGCCGTTTGAATTTTTCTACTTAATGACAAAAGTGAAGTGGGCAAAACGCTGCGGAACTTCTTCACTATGGTTAAACGCCAATATGACAAATTGGTGAAGATAGTTAGAAGCGATAATGGTACTGAATTTACTTGCTTGAAGGAATATTTTTTTGAGCAAGATATAATACATCAGACCTCATGTGTTGAAACACCGCAGCAGAATGGACGTGTCGAGAGAAAGCATAGACATATACTAAATGTTGCCAGAGCCCTTAGATTTCAGGCTAATCTCCCTATTGAGTTTTGGGGAGAGTGTGTTATGACAGCTGGTTATCTGACCAACAGGCCCCTCTCCACTCTCCTTTTGGGAAAATCACCGTATGAGATGTTGTATGGGCAGAAACCAAGCTATAAACATATACGAACGTTTGGGTGTTTGTGTTATGCGCGAAGCCTCAATCGTACCAGGGATATTTGCTAGTAGAGCCAGACGTTGTGCCTTTGTAGGATAGCCCTTTGGCAAGAAGGGGTGGAAGTCTATGACTTAGAAAACAATGAATATTTTGTCTCTAGGGATGTGGTGTTTTCAGAAACCGAGTTTCCTTATGCTATTGAAGAAAAACAAGTCGAACACGGACACAATGATGGTAATCTTGATTATAACTAGGTGGCGACTGAAGTAAATGACGAGGAAGATTGTGAAAGTAAAAGAGACAGTACTCGTGAGGTCATAAGAGAGGCAGAGCAAAGTGACAGGTGTGAAAATAATGAAGAGGAGCATGATGTAAGGGGGGGTTCTGTGGAAGTAACGAATGTAGGGAATGAGCAGCTTGGACGAGGCCATAGAAGCATCCTTCCACTCGTCTCAAGGACTACGTCATACACACCACATGGTGTTCTAACCACAGTCTGAGCCCTTCTACCAGTTCATCTCGCCAATCTCACTCCTTAGGTACTCCCTATCCTATAACACATTATGTGAATTGTGATAAATTTTCTTTGCGACACCGCTCTTCCTTAGCAACTGTCACAGCTAGTCATGAGCCCCAGAGTTATTCAGAGGCTGTCAAGGACTCTCGTTGGAGAGAGGCAATGAGAAAGGAAATTGAAGCTTTAGAGAACAATAGAACCTGGACAGTGGAGGACTTGCTGCCAGGGAAGAAGGCTCTTGGAAGTAAATGGGTCTACAAAATAAATTACAACTCAGATGGCACAATAGAGCGGTACAAGGCACGTTTGGTGATATTCGGAAACAAACAGGTTGAAGGGATAGACTACAATGAAACGTTTGCGCTTGTGGCAAAGATGGTTACAGTTCGAGCATTCCTTGCAGTTGCTGCGGCTAAAAACTGGGAACTGCATCAGATGGATGTACAGAATGCTTTTCTTCATGGAGATCTGCAAGAAGAAGTGTATATGAAGATGCCTCCTGGATTTGCTTCAAGACTACCTGGAAAGGTGTGCAAGCTGCATAAGTCGCTTTATGGTTTGAAGCAGGCCCCTCGTTGCTGGTTTGCTAAACTCACGACAGCCTTGAGACAGTATGGCTTTACCCAGTCACAATCTGATTAATCTTTGTTTATGCTTTGACGGAAGCAGGAACAGTTGAATATTTTGGTTTACGTGGACGATCTTGTCATCTCTGGAAATAATGGCAATGCCATTTGGAGATTCAAGAAGTATCTGAGCCGATGCTTCCACATGAAGGACTTGGGAACTTTGAAATATTTTTTAGGAGTGGAGGTCGCCAGAAGCCAAAAAGGTATTTTTCTTTGTCAACGGAAGTATGCTTTGGATATCATATCAGAAACTGGATTGTTAGGAGCTAAACCAGCTGGACTTCCCCTAGAACAAAATCATAAACTAGCTCTGGCAGATGATCCTCTGATGATAAAACCAGAGAGTTACAGGAGGCTAGTGGGTCGTTTAATTTACTTAACCATTACCCGTCCAGAATTGTCCTATTGTGTGCATGTGCTCGCTCAATTTATGCAGAACCCCCGTGAAGAACACTGAGAGGCGGCTTTACGTGTGGTGCGATATTTGAAAGGTAACCCGGGACAAGGAATTTTCCTTCCAGCTGACAGTGATCTTCGCTTGTATGCTTACTGTGATTCTGACTGGGCCGGGTGTCCACTGACACGACGCTCTCTCACCAGATACTTTGTTTTATTGGGCCAAGCACCTATCTCGTGGAAGACAAAGAAGCAACTTACAGTGTCCAGATCATCAGCTGAGGCGGAATACAGGTCTATGGCAACTGCTGCATGTGAATTGAAATGGTTAAAAGGGTTGTTGCATTCATCAGGAGTTGGTCATCCTGACCCTATGCGATTACACTGTGATAATCAAGCAGCCTTGCATATCGCTATGAATCCAATCTTCCATGAGAGGACTAAACACATTGAAGTAGACTGTCACTTTATCCGCGGTGAAATCCAGAATGGGAATATACGGCCTTCCTACGTCCGGACTTCCGAGCAACTTGCTGATATGTTTACAAAGACCCTGGACAGGCAACAATTCGAACATCTTCTTACCAAGTTGGGCATTTCCCATTTACATGCTCCAACTTGAGGGGGGTATTAAGCCTTCTGTAAGCCTTATCTTAGCGTAGCCTTATCTTCTGTATGAGTCTTATCTCTTATGTTTTAATTGGTTTTAGTTTTTGTTTTTATTATTCTTTTAGGAGTTTGTACCTATTGGTTAGCCGACATCTTCGCAAGAGGGAGTGAATTCAGACATTGTATATATTCTCTGCAATCGTTTGCTGAAACAGAATAGAAAAAAAATCTTTTTCTTCAACCTGAAGTTTTTCACAAGAGTAAACACATCTATACATATCAAAAACTTAGAATGGTTAAATGATTTCATGGTGGCTGAATGAAAATGCGGAGTCATGCATGGAGATATTGTATATTTGTATTGAGTCTCTTGGCCTCTTCTCAAATCCAATCACCCATTTCGTAAGAACAAGACATAAAAAAAGCTTAGGGAAGACTTTGATGCATGATTTATGCTTGATTTCACATAATGGGTTGGGTTTTGTGGTGCCCATTTCCACCTTACACTTATATATATTATTAAATTAATATTAATAAAACAATAATTCTTATGCTACCAAACCACCCTCATAGCCCTTATCATAATGAGGCCTACCAAATTTATTTATTTATTTTTATTTTTTTGTTTTATACATGAGATATGACATGCTGTTTACCGTAGACTTTTAATGCTTGTCGATTTTATCTTGTATTAAAAATAATAAAAGATACTAAATTTTGTATCCTCTGATGTTGCTTCCTCTCGGTCTTACTGTGTGAGTAGGCTCATGAGCCACGTGGCGGATGGTGATTGGAAAGCCGGTTGCCGTCGGAGCAGTTTCCACGTTGGCAAACGACGTAGCGGTTGCCCCACGAAACCGCTCGGTGACCGGATTCCAAATTATGGCGCGAACTTTCCACGCGTGACGCGTGTCTCAAAGCGAACCATTCGAATTGGGGGACCGGCCGCCTGGGGGATATTTTCGTAATAACGTTGAAAAAGGAGGGGCTGATGCGGGAATAAATAAGCACGCGTGGCGCGAGAAAGCGATTGACACAAGACGTTTAACTTCCAATCGCGAAGAACTAGTAGGGTGATCTTTGCTCTGGACATGTTGAATTACTTAATTACCCTACTTGTATCTCTATTATAAGAATGTTACGGGCATGCACAGCGAAAGTGAAGCTCCGAAATTACCTCATGTGTCCCACGAGACGAGCTCGTGCGTGCAATTCGTCAATATTCGCAAAGAAAGGGCATTTCGGGTAAATATCTCGAGGGTGGACGAGAATGGAAACATCTCCCAGGGAAAGGTAAGAGATAGGGTTATTTTAGGGAAGCGAGAGTACGTTGTACGTGCAATTTGAATTTTGTCTTGTATTTTACTATTTTATTTTATTTTTTAATTTTATTGGCGGGACGATTTAATTGCCGTCGGTTGACGGCAGATGCAGCAAGTAGGTGGGGGGACCATCCTAGGTAGCGAAACGTGGCAACCGAAGGAGCCAAAACAGTAACTCGAGTGGTCCCCACGGATTGGCAGCATATGAAGGTGGGGCCCACCTGCTTTCGGCCCCTTGCACCGGGAGAGGGGACCGCGGAGGAAGCGTGATTAAGCCGGCGGCGCTTCAGACGGCAAAAAGCAAGAGGGGGGGAGGAAGAGTCAAAATTCTCCGACCGGCCCCCACCACGCGATGCTTTGCCCACGTGTCGTTCTCTCATTCGACGGGCCAAGGCGCGTGCTTCAACATGGTCTCCACATGTGGTCCACTCGATGAAGACCTGCCGCGTGTCCATCGGACGGATTAGATTTCGAACACCCCGGTCCGTGAGTGGCGTAGGGACACGCGACGTAATTCGATCGCCTTTTCCCGGGTCTTTTTAACATTTCGTTTGTCCCGGTTCGGTACCGGCTATAGCCGGTCAACCAACGTCGTCAATAAGTAGCGTTAATTCATGTCTTGTTGCGCATAATCTAAGACATCCACCGGTTTTTGTCTGATTACCTCTCCAAACATCAATTCTCCCACGTGTGCAAAACTCCTACCGTCCGATCTATCCACTTGATTGTCGCATCAACGTGGATCCGCTCGAGCTTTTCTTAAACCTTTTCATTAATTCGGCGGCGTCGGCAGCCGTAGCTGCGCTATTCGGTATTCGCCAATTCCACTCTGTAATTGCGAGCGGTTTTCCGAGAGGTTTCTTCCTCTCGAAACCAGGCCGGAAAACAGCTTTCCGTTTTACCATACGTAGGTTGTATAACTTCTCTCTCTAGGACTCTATCTACATGGTAGAGAGTAGAGAGATATGTTTATATATAATATTTAATAAATAAAATAATTCTTTCTCCAATCTCGCTCGTTAGCCCGCAGCCCGCTCGCTCGCTCGCATCGTTGAAACTTTGTTTCTAGAGTGGAAAACCGGATTAAAGATGAAGTTTTTCCCGTGAAACCGCTAATAGATGGCGTTTCACAATCATCTCTCGCACGAGATGGCGCTGCAGCATTTCACCGAGCAGCATTTAGGGGAAAACACGGCGGTTTTAAGGAGTATAATACCGGAACAGCTAGGACAGACTTCGTCAGACGGGACTGGAGGTGCGGGGAAAGAACAGAAGGATATACAGAGATTAATGATCGAGACAGGTGGAAAACCAAAGCAGCAACAACCGCCACCAGGACAGCAGCACCATCTAGGTGGAGGAGGAGGCGGAGGTGGACCGACGTGGCTAAGCAACGCAATTCTTAGGCAGCAGAACCAGTACGTTGACGGCAGCTTCCTACACTTGCAAACCAATTCGGATTCGCCGACGTCGGCCGCTTCGAACCAGTGGCTACCGCGGCCGATTCTTCAACGGAACGCTAGCGATGTCGGTGGCGGTGACGATGTTCCTGTATCGAGTGACTCGATGATTGCCGCTGCGATGTCTCACAACTCGGCCGATTTGAACGCTAATAATGATAATAGGAACAGTGGTAACAACCAGAACCCGGGGGATAATAGCGGTGGCGCAGAGTTGGCGGAGAGTGAAGCCGGAGGTGGAGGGGATGGAGTTGGTTCCTGGCAGAATGCAAAGTATAAAGCTGATATCTTGGCTCATCCGCTTTACGAGCAGTTGCTTTCAGCGCACGTCGCGTGCCTGCGCATTGCAACTCCAGTCGATCAGTTGCCGAGGATTGATGCACAGCTTGCGCAGTCGCAGCATGTCGTCGCCAAGTACTCAGTACTTGGTCATGGTAACCAGCAGCTCGTAAGCGACGATAAAGAGCTTGATCAGTTTATGGTATTCCCTGCTCTTCTTTCTCTTTTTGTTGGCTTTTGGGTTTTGTTTCAATTTGTTTATTATTTGTTTTCTGACGGTGGATGATTTATGGGACCAAACACAAAAAAATGGTTTTCATTAGTGTTGATTGTTTTAACTAGAGGCTTTTATCGTAGTTCAATGTTTGTTTCGATATTCTTTGAGGGCTTCCAAATTGAGGTTTGTTGCTAATTAGGATGTAGCTGTTTGTCTTTTGGGAAAAAGAATGGAATATTTATGAAGGTAAACAAAATTGGGGGAGTAAGTTGGAGTCTCGATCTTCCACTTTCTGGTTCTTGGTCTCTGTAGCGCTTTGCTTTCGATGAAGAAGATGAAATGGGTGAGGGGGAAGGTGTTTTATCAGTTGAAATGGATTGTTATCTTATTTTTGCTTTATGATTCTCCTAAGTCCTAACATGAAGTAGATGATTTAGTATTTCCGTTATTAGATAAGGTGTGCAATTGAGAGCGGGGGAAAGAAACTCGAGATTCCTGCAACAAGCTTGGTTGGCACCTTGGCATATCGCTGCAAAGGATTTAACGCCAAAGCAGTTAGGTGTAACTCCTTTTGTCACGACTGTGATCTACCTTCATGGTTCAGAAATTCTAATGGAAGTATGGAACCTCGGTTATCTCGGAAAGAGGGAGATAAAGTTGTCCAAAAAATGAAGCTAGGCAACAGGGAACAGAGTCTGAACAAGTTAAATGCATAACAAAAACAGTCAACATCTCAGCTTCGTATTCTCAACAATTTTTCTAAAGAAATTTCAGAAGATATGTGGAAGTTTGAATCTGGGTCAAGATTAATATAAATTTCAGGTGCTTCCAGATAGTTCCCTTAATGTGGGATTTCTAGTAGATGGCCTTGAACTAGGTGACCTCTTGAATGAGGACTTGCTGACTTTTAAGCTAAAATAAGTGTCGGAAAATCTAAGGAAATCAGGAAGAAAAGAAAACATGATTGAGTTATTTGGTAGCATCAGATTTGATTACTCCACATCAAGATGAGATGACACAGGAAACACAAGGTCTGGAATGTCTAAATGCTATAAAGTACATTATAATTACGTTCCAAAGTTTGGATTTTCTTCTTTTCCTCTGGTATCTAACCCTTATCCCTTGTGATGTTTCTTTCACATGCACTAAGTTGCCTTTTATATCATTTTATTTCTTACTGTAGTTTCTGTATAAGCATTACTACAAAGGCAATCATCTCCAAAAGAAATGGAAATGAAAGAGCATAACTATTTAAGGAAATGATTTGAACAATTGTACAAAACATGCCTTTAATATTTTAGTTCATATAAGGAATTTATGTGATCTTGAGGACTTGAGAAAAGAATTTCTGTTTTAATCAGTTTTCTTGTGGAAATTAATTCCACTGTGCTTGAATTCTTCAATTTGTTGTTCTATAACACGAATTATCTGTTTCTATGAATTGAAATTCAATAAGGGTCTGAAAAGTTATCTATTCTTTGGAATCTTGTAGTTGTTTTGGTGATCCATGTTCTTGGGTTTTTATATCTCCAATCTACTAAGTTTTGATATATATTATATTAGTTGATTAAATTGTCTCATATAATTAATTAGTAAATTACATTAACAGATAAAATAGATGATACAAAATTTAGAAAAAAAGGAGAAGAAAAGATGGAAGCATACCAAATGGTGCTTTTGGTGTGGTACTGTGGTGTGGATAGAAAAAGGAAAACAGACGAGCATAATGGAAAATTTTTTCTACACGAGTGGTATATATCCCCTTCACCACACAATGTGAAACTTTAATACCAATTGCAAATTTTGCATGATGCTGAGATGGATGTTTTGAAGGTTATCTTTGTTGGAAATGATTGGAAAATGAACATGGTGAGACATACAGAAATTACACACAATGTGAATACTCTTTAGTCTTTACATGACATGATGTAAAGATTAATATACATGGTGGGGAGAACTCCCTGTATATTTGGGCAGGTATGATATAATTATCATAAGTGATGGGTAGAAAGTAGAGACCACTTAAAAACCAGTGTTGTATTGTAGGGGTGAGCATAATTTGGTCAAAACCGAAAAACCGAACCGCAATTTCGGTTTTGGTTTAATCGGTTCGGTCTAATCGGTTATTCGGTCGGTTTAGGTTTTTTTGTATTTCGGGTTTCAGTTTCGGTTATCATACTTTATAAATCGGTTAACCGAAAAAACCGATTTACAATTATAATTATATATTTTTAATATTATTTATTTTATAATTTATAAAGAATGAAAGAGTGAAAAACAAGTAAAATGGCGCCTGCTAGTTTCCGAAATAAGAAAAATGTAAAAGAGTGAAAGAAAACATTAAAATAGCAGCTGAATGTCTGAACCCACTACCCAATAGGTCAAAAAGCAGAGACTCTCACTTGCATTTGCCTACGTCTCTGTTTTGAATTCTACTCTACTTCGCCAGATCAGCACTGCCATTTGCAGCATGGCAGAGTACTGTTGCTAGCTGGTTAGTGGCTGCCCTGCCTCACAAGCCCGGCCATCTTCAATTATTTTGCTACAAAAGAGATTGCCTCTATCTCAGCTTTTCTCATACAGTACCATCAGAAAGGGCTTAAGTCAATGTGTCTTCACAATCAAACATCAGTTGGACAGGTAACCCCATAACTGGTATACATTTTTTTTTTTTTAATCTTGGTGAAATGAGACTCAAGTTAAATAATTTCGGTTTTAACCGAAATAACCGAAACAAATTTGGTTCGGTTTATTCGGTTTTCACATACTTCGGTTTCGGTTCGGTTTATCATATTGTTAAATCGGTTTTTAAAATTTCGGTTTTTTTGGTTCGGTTTTGAACCGAAAAAACCGAATGCTCACCCCTAGTTGTATGGACAGGGACAAGGGAATCAGAATCTGTCACATTCCAGGACACTGTCTCAGCAGCAAGACGAGAAAATGTGGACTCATGGGCACACGTATATACTATAAAAATGCTTGGTAATTTTTTAATTCTAACATTATATACCTTCAGGGGGAGGGGGGTGGGTCTAAGATGTTTCTTTTGTTACTATGGCTCAGTTTGGAAAGAGTACAAATACAAATATGTACAGTGCAAAATCTTGTATATTGTATTTGTACTCTTTCCAAACTGAGCCTAAGTAATATTTGATATGAAAAATGCCATTCCTCTTGTAAATTGACTATTCATTTATGTCAAATAAGCTAGGGGATAGAAGAGAAACATTACTTAGAAGTATCCCTTGAGAATCCATGGAGTTTTGGAATCCAATACATGTTTGGCATGGGCATGTCCATTTAGGAGAGTGTATGCAACACTATTGAAGACCAACTCATTGAACTGCAGCTTTTGACCAGAGGCAAGGTTCTTCAAATTCAAAACAATGAATCCTTATCAAACAATGTTGTAATAATTGTTTATGAGTTTGGCTTGTTTCAATGTTAGGAATCATGTAAGTTACTTGGCTGAGGTGTATCAAATTAATGTTTTAATACACTGTCAAAATCATCTGTTCTGAGTTAGCCATGACTCGAATTGATTTCATAGTGCACTAATTCATTCCCTGATTCTAACTCTAATTGCACCAAGGTGATGCAGTACCAATATCCATTACCATGGTATGCCAAAACAGAAATTAATTCTGATCAGGCAAGCAGCTACTTCAACTGTCTTCCGGAAAAATCCTTCCCCCAGAAATAAAAGGTGCATGGAGACGCATATTCTAAAATTTACATTCATTATAAATTCCCAACACTAGACAACATTATGGTCCATTGACTTGGCTTCACCCTTGAGCATTTCTTATAATGAGTGTCTAAATGCAAGGTTGATGTCCAATTTCTCACATCCCAAATCAAGAGCTTTCATGCACCATCAAAGATTTGGTGTGGTTGGTCTTTAAGATGGGATGTGATTGAACAACATGCAACTATTGATTCATATCTTCAATCTAAATTGAGTGCCTAGAAGACTATATTCCTTTAACAAGAACTGATCAAGCACGTTTTTAGTTGATATGGTCTCAGGATAAAATTTGTGAATTTTTATTCATCTTATTACCATTTGATAAGTCATAGTCGGATCTTGATAAATAACTATTACCATTTGTTACTTGATGATTTAAAACAAACTTTCCATGTACTTAAATAAACACAATGCTATATTTAGACATGAAAGGTAAGCAAGGAATGATGATGCTGTATTGTACTTGTCAAAATATATTGTTCATTTTTACCAACAAAAAAAAATATATTGTTAGTTTGAGCTAGAACTCTCATTTTTTTATGTTTAGTGTTCAAAATCCTATAAGTGTTGTCAGAGGTGTTGGTTGTATAAGCAATGAGGTGTCAAGGAGAGGCATTACTGAAGTTCCCCAAGCCACACAATTGATGTATAGCATGGTGATGAGATGGAACAGAGATGAATGTTTTTATTTCTTTTTCTTTTTTAATTTTCCAACTCAACCAAGGCTGTGTTCGGATCATGGTGGGACTGGAATTGTAGGTAGAAGGGTGGGGATGAGGGTCAGTAATTTCATCTTTTGGGTTTAGTTTCATAGCAGAGTGGAATTTGGAGACTGGTGGATTTAGGCCTTCAATTTTGCATCTTTGTATATCTAAAAATTCCTTGTGTAGTTCTTTTCCATTTTAATGGTGGGGGGTGCTAGTAATTTGAACTCTGAGAAATTGGGTTGGGAGTGTAATTCAATTCTATTTCCACTCCCTAGGTCCAAATTCAATCTTAAGATATCATGCTAACTTTTATTTGACTTGTAAGCACTCTCTATTATTACAAGTTGGCTATTAATTAGAAATGGTTATCTTTGATGCTTATATGGTTATGCCCGTTCTTTAGGCAAGTGAAATGTGTTGTCTCAAGACTTGGTGTCTTAAAAGACTAATTCCAGGTAAAAATAAGAATTCTTTAATTAGACCTTCTGTTCTCTGTATGGATTGAATATATTGGAACATGTTTTATTTGGCTTGCTGATTTGCTGACTACAAAAGAGATCTTAGTAGTTGACTAGTTGTTGAAGAGGCTGTGTAGTATCACAATCCTTCACGAGTATATGAAAAGTGAAATCCATGTAAATTCTGTCCATATAATGGTTTATATTGTAATTTCACATGTATGCCATGGTTTTATTGGTTCATGCATTCCCCCAGCTTAGTTTTAATTTAGGGAAAATTCCACTTTAGTACCCTGAACTTTGGGGGTAGTGTCAAGTTAGTGCCCGAACTTTCAAATGGGTCACTACAGTACCTAAACTTTTAAAAAGTGTCAAGTTGGTCCCTGCCAATAACTGACTGTCAGTTATCAGTTGGAAATGTCAAAACTACCCTTGAGACTGAACCGGTTGAGGTGTTTGAGATTCTAGACTAATGAAGTCATTGTCTTCTACCTTCAGATCTGAAACACATTCTTGTCTAGTTATTTCTTTGCTTTCAATTATTGTTTCCCTCTATCATATTTCTTGTTTTTTCTCTTTTTCTTTGAAGATAACCGGTTCAGTCTCAAGGTAGAAGACAATGAACAGTGTCTACTTTTCAAAGGTAGTTTTGACATTTTCAATATATAACTGATGGTCGGTTAAAGGCAGGGACCAACTTGACACTTTTTGAAAGTTTAGGTACTGCAGTGACACGTTTGAAAGTTTGGGTACTAACTTGACACTACCCCCAAAGTTCAGGGTACTAAAGTGGAATTTTCCCTTTAATTTACTACAGGCTTCTGCTGAGATTTTCAAGATCATGATTTTTCCATTGTTTTCATCTTCTTTGTTTTCCCTGGTATGCAGACACATTATGTTTTACTGTTATGTTCCTTTAAAGAACAACTGCAGCAGCATGTCCGTGTCCATGCAATGGAAGCAGTAATGGCCTGCTGGGAGCTTGAGCAGTCTCTACAGAGCCTAACAGGTGAATCATATCTGCTTTTTGATAAATTTGCATAATACATGGGAGTGATATTTGGTAGGGATTTTAAGACTTGCTCCATATATGGATTTGTTTGTTTCTTATTTGTTTTGGTTGGTTGTGATGTGCTTGTTTGGTAGCTTTCACTTCTAATCCACCCACTTCTAGCCCGGTCCCTAATAATTCCTGTATGGATCTGGCATCACTTATTCTGATATAGATATCAGTACTTAGTTTACTCCAGATCGTTTTGATATGTATCATATTCACATTTTTATTGTGTATGTGTATCAGAACACTAGAATAATATTCTTTTAAACAATATTTTGGATACATGGTTTTTCTGGTCTTTAACAACCAATGACTTTATTAATTTAGCTGAAAAGAATAATATACAATACAACATGTCTGTCAAGCACCTCAATAATTAGCTTGCCTTGGTTAGCCCTACTGTAGACTTTTTAAAAATCCTCTTATTAGGGAATTAAACCCTAGTACAACTGATTTTGATTTGCCCCCTGTTTTGCTAGACTATCAGCCAAGAAGTTGGTTGTTGATGCCCATCTGTAGACTGTGTAGCTCACTTTTGCAGCTTTTTAATATTCTCTGTACCATTCCAACTTTATTGGATGTCTACGAAGACATGATCTAGCTTTTTAATCTCTCCCTCATAATATGTCTATATCTCCAAGAACTTGTCCTTGTAAGCCACCCCACAATTATCTGTGAATCCCTTTCTACCACAATCTTTTGGTACATGACCTCTTCTTTTTTTTGAATATACATGACCTCTTCATTGTTAGGAGGTTAGTCTGGGTCAGAGGACACTGCAGGGCTTTACATGTAATCACTGGCCACACTATGCAATTCAACTTTCTAGTTTTGCAAAATACAATACAGCAGTTAGATGGGATGCTGGTTTAAGAATGTCATGTTTTTTTTTTTTTTTAATTTCTTTATATTTGGATTGCTGATCTGGCTAGTTGGCATGACTAGCTACTAGAAGAAGAATTGGGTTAAACCTAAGAATACTTGTAATAGAGCCCGGGGGCTAGTAAGAAATTCATATTATGTTTATATTCTCCTGAGATTTAGTTTGTTGCTTTCTAATCTCTTACACAAAAACATGTATAATTGGATTCACCCCATTTAGTACATAAGCTAAATTATTTACATTTTCAAACAAACAAACAAATCTTCTTTCTTTCTAATCTTTTATCTATTTTGTGCCTTATCTTTTTTTTTTCAGTTTCCTTATCTTTTTTTTTCCAGTTTTTTTTATCTTCTTTCCTGTTTCTTGTGTGAGCATTAATCCTTTGCCTTCTGATTTCTTCCTGAAGATTTTAGTGATCTACCATTTAAAGTATTTTTCTATATGATTTAGATTGGTGTAGGTAAAGCTTATTTTTACTCCTCAATCTCTTGTTTTTGTTGTCTAGAGTTTTTCCCCCTCCAAATTTGTTGGTTGTGTGAAGGAATTTGTCATATCTGTTGCTTATCCTTTTTTTTGTTTAACTTTTTTATTAGCTTTTATTATTTTTTTAACATCCATTTAGTGATATATTTGTTTTCTAAACCCAGGAAAAGGCTCTCTTTGAGACTGGTTTTCTAAAATATTCAAGTTAGAAAATGCACTATTGAGTTGATCTGTTGACGTGTATTAATGACTGAAAATGCAATTAGTTTGTCATTTGTACTCAGATCCGTGCACATTCAAAGTGTTCATTCTTTTTATTCTCATAATTTCCTGTTTCCGTTGAAATTAATGTGATCAACCATGCTTGCATGAACAGGTGTCTCACCAGGTGAAGGCACAGGCGCAACAATGTCAGATGATGATGATGACCAGGCAGATAGTGATGCCAACTTGTTTGATGGAAGCTTGGATGGGACAGACAGTATGGGTTTTGGTCCTCTTATCCCAACAGAGAGTGAGAGATCCTTGATGGAACGCGTGAGGCAAGAGCTGAAGCATGATCTGAAACAGGTAAGGTCATAGGTTTATAATATTCTATAGTTTATTGTTGTGCATGTTCAAGGTTGCTTATCGATATTCTGTCTTTTAGGGTTACAAGGAGAAAATTGTGGACATAAGGGAGGAGATTCTACGCAAAAGAAGAGCAGGAAAACTCCCAGGAGATACAACCTCCCTCTTAAAGGCCTGGTGGCAATCACATGCTAAGTGGCCATATCCAACAGTAAGTGTGGCTTATCTTCACTTGCTACAGTTATTCAATTGACCTAATTGAGTTATTACCAGGTTTCTGAATCCTGTTTCAGGAGGAGGATAAGGCCAGGTTAGTTCAAGAAACAGGCTTGCAATTAAAGCAGATTAATAACTGGTTCATCAACCAGAGGAAGAGAAACTGGCATAGTAACCCATCATCATCCACTGCCCTGAAGAGCAAGCGCAAGAGGTATGATTTTGCTAAAAGTATTTCTTCATGCCTAAAGACATTATTTAACGGACTTCCTGCCAACTAAAATTTGGAAAAGAAGTAATGCAGGTGAAAACAGTGGCGAACGCTTCCTGTAGCTGATGTGCCAAAATTAAGATCCAAACACAGATGATCCATCCATGCTTTGCAATCCAATGGGTGATCCAGCATCATATAATACAATGTAGTGCATAGGAAAGTACAGAATACGACTGCTTGGTAATACTGCAGGGTTGCACATGGAGATATTGATTTTGCTTTCACAGAGAAGAGGCTATGTAGTGAGGCAGCTGTCTAGTATTTACAATTGGTTGGTTAGAATATCGATCACTTCTGATTGACAGGTATGCTTACACTAGAAGCCACAGAGGTATCTACAACGCATGTAGTGCTATCAAATTAAGCAGCTCAAATTTGAGAATATAACCTGTGGAACAGAAGCTACCTGTATCTTTGATCCTCTCCTTTTTTTCATTTTCTTTCTCCCCCTCACTGCATTGGCAGATTTAAGATTTTTATTCTATATATCTGTCAATAAGAATAGTTTACAGGTTGTGGGTGTAGAGTGTAATAATTTCTTGCATGATACTCCCAGCAGTTTTTATTTTTTACTAGTGACCATAGCGTGATCAACAATGTCTTTTTGTGGAGGTAAAGCTACAGCATAATACAGAGATGATTTATATAGTCTATATGTCAAAAAAAGTGTTTCTAAGCAAGCAACTAATCTGCACTATTTTCCATTTCTCCAGCATTACACTATAAGAAGCATCAAATGCATCTCTTTTGTTTTCCCCTTTTTCTTCATTTGTATCATTAGTGCATTATGTCATTGTACTAGTGCAAAACCCAACTGTTTTTGTGGAAAAATAGCATACTGAACGTCCAACTGATGGTCTGGGTGAAGAACAATTGTGGCATTAGAGGCTGTAAAAAATATTATTACCTTCTTAAGCATTGTATTTGGGTCAATTGGTGCCAGGCTTAAATCAACTCTAACCAGTTATTATCCAAAGTGGCTATTTTGGCCGTGGTATGACAAATCTTGGGGGTAACTCAAACTGCTAATCAGCCCCTGCATAGAGCTAGCCAGCTAGGTTCTCTGGCTGAAGAACTGATTTCAAAGCCTAAATAGCTTGTCCTTGCAGCTCCTTGCCTCTTTCCAAATTCTATTTATCCCTGAAGAGCTTTCATCAAAATAAATACAATTACATTTGCAAAATAGATGTAACACTTCCCTCCAATGAATAATCTTATGCTAGGTTTTGATTACCAATTCATCATTCCAGAACATGAAACACGAGCGTACCTGTTTGGACGGTTTGATCCTAAAAGCCATTATTGAGAATCAATTCATGCTCTTTAGCTTCAAAATCTGTCTCAACCGCTCCAGTCTCTCCGAATCACCAGACTTGGATTGAAGGGTATTCAAAAAACCAAGAGTCATTTACGAGTATGCATCCTGAGGTGATTCAACTTAATGAAAATGGTGGTTGAGAATTGAGATTGGTTGCTCACCAAACTAGACCCAACCCAGTCTTCATGTTATAACTCCCTGATCGAAGTTACTTATCGGATACATATCAACCCACTTAAAATTATTTTAAAGAACATTTTAAAAATGACAAATTGACAAGTATTAAGACTCGGTTTAGTTTGGAAAGAGCACAAATACAAATATGTACAATACAAATACATACAAAATAATATAAAACATAGGGTTTTGCACTCTACATGTTTACATTTATATTCCTTCCAAACTGAGCCTAAGTGTGTCAAGGGTAGAGGAACAAGAATTGACTATGCTACCGTGGACTGTGGAGGAATTTCATACTGAATGAGAAACGAAATTCTGGGAAAGTTACACCGGGAGAGTGTGGTTTGCCGTGTTTAGAAAACTGAACCAGAGATGGAACATCTGACCCTGGTTGAACATCTGACCCATGAACCTTTCTGTGCAATTCTCTAGATGGTGATTTGTATCCACTTAACAATCCTTTCTCCAAAAGGCGAGCAGTATATAAAGTATTTGTTTGGTTCCGTTTATGTTTAATGAGTAAATGTTTATTGACGGTGCAACATAGGCACCCTGTCAGCAAATGCTTCATTAACTGCATTTGTGTGCATTGAAATTTGCAAAATCAAGTAAATTTTGATTTATATGTGCCTCTCTTGTTTCTCTTGTTTGAAGCTTCACTTTGGAGCTTTCTGAAACGGGTAGACATTTATTGGCATTTTGTTGATGTGGTGCCTAATGGCGCCTATGTGTCATAAAGCCTCTTATTATACGTGTTTCTCGATTTTACAATCACACAAGTACAAAATATTTACTGAATAAACGTAAACGGAACTAAACACCCTACCCCACCATGAACTAATTAGTAGTTTGGCCATAAGTGAGGGATATACCAAAAACCAAGCAATGAAATTGAAATGGATGTCTGCTCTACAATACTTGGAGCCAACGGCCACTTTTGTTCAAATTACAGACTATCATATCTCTTCTGAAAGGATCTCATGGATTTCTTTCGCTGGATGACCGTGGTTATCTCAGCCAGTCAGCCCTGCGGATATAGCAAATCAAGGTTTTTGATAGGAATCAGAACCCTGATTAATCATGAACAGTGAACTGGCCGCCCAATCCGCATTGCAGCGTTATTGGTTGTTCAAATGTCAGAGAGAGACTGCCATATTTCCCCTGTTAATATGGCAGACATCAGACAGACTCAGTCCAACAGCAAGAAAATCCCTTCTGTTATGCTGAAATCTCAGAAATAAGACTGTGTTTGGATTGAAGGAAAAGGTAGGGAAAAAAAAGAAAAGGTGGAGAAACCTTTACCAACCTTCCTTTCCCTATCTTTTCCTTCAAATCAAACATAGCCTAAGAGGTAGTAGAGTGGAAAAAAGCTCCACATATGGGTACAGAGATGAGAGATGGTGTAGATAGGTCATCTCCTGCATTATGGCTATGCAATGACATGTCCAAAGGGGCACACTATTCCATTTGGACAATTTAGATTTCGACTAGCCACGTGGGCTACCTACTGCCGGCCCCCTCAACCTCAAGTTCCCCCAGGCCCCAGCTAACTAAAAGGAAGCGATGAGGAGTGATTTGGCCCTCCAGTGGCGTGATGACACTTGACACTTCAAAACAGTCAAACGACATTTCAGCACCATGTAAGCAGACCTCGGGAGCGCCTCGAACACCTCGCACCTGCCTTGATGACCTCAGTAGACCGAACTGCAAATGACCTGGTAAGACTTTAGGCCGGTGTAAGAGGTGACCTGCTTCTATCAACCTGGCCCGAGTTCAACTAGTGACCTTCCTAACGTGTCGGGCGACCTCTTCGTTAAGTAGGTTATCATCTCTGACTTCCCTAGGATCATAGTGCCACATCGGAAGAGCCGATTATCACCCCACCCACTTTGGATGCGATTGGATAGACACTATCCGTTTACGCGGAGTCCATCTCTAGGCGTGAAACCATCTCCAAACCAGAAGGGCCAAAGATCTCAAACGCGCTTCCTGAGCCTCACAATAATTAGCCCATATAAAGGCATCCCCATTCACAGAATAGGTACGTGAGGTTTAGCTCTCTAGTTCTCTCATTTTTAGCTCTCTCAAAACTCTTCACTGACTTAAGCATCGGAGTGGCCACCTTGGGTAAAACAACCCGGACACTCTGATCATCACTTTCTTACAGCTCGACCAGGCAACCTACTTAGTCTGGTATCCAAATTACAGTATAGGCCTCAACACTTGTGGAGTCTTACGTCTGAATATGCAAGTTGGGTAGGCAACGATGGGACATCTTGTGTAATATGTGCAGCAAGCCAAGCTTCCTAGTACTTTCATTTTATAGTACTCCTGGTAAAGGAGTTGAAATTATACACCGGTTCGCCTTTTGGCCTAATGGGTTAAGGAGTTGGGAATGTCAATTTTCCCCATCCCCCATCCCCACCTGGTACCCAACCTGACGGAGATGGGGATTGAATTTGGATTAGCTGAATGCTTTAGTGGTTCTGATGGGATGGGGATTCAGATTAGCTGAATGCTTTAGTTGTTCTGATGGGGATGGGGATGGGGATTGAATTTGGATTAGTTGAATGCTTTAGCTGTTCAACAGGCTTTGGAACCAATGATGAGGTTCCACACCAGTAATAAATTCATGGGCTCCATTGTAAAAGATACGGACCCCATGTATTTAAAAACCAGCATGGAACCTTATCATTGGTTCCATAACCCACTGAACAATGAAAGCGTTCAGCTAAACCTTGCTTGTGGGGATTGCTTTGGCAGGGCGGGGATGGGAATGGAGATTAATAAGAATTCTCAACCAGGGTCAGGGTCAAGGACATATATATATATGTAAATATGCACATACTTTGCACGCGGGCAATTCTAGATTATGATAATGATATTAATAGTGTATCCAAAATTTTCAATAAAACTTTATGCATTTTTTATTTTTTGTTTTAATTACTAATTGGATGTAGATTGCTAAAACCAAATTTGATTACATAAACACCTTGTACAAATATGTGATAATTGGATCGAGTTGTGAAATTTCAAATATCATTGACAGGCCTACCTGCTTGGCTAGACTCTTTTTTTTGTAACGTTTTATCTTTTATAAAAAAAAATGTAAGATTTAAATAGAGGGAATTGAATGAGGTGAAAAATAATAGTTCAATTTACAATTTAAACCTTACAATTAAATAAGGACTAAATTCAAAAATGAGTATTTTAGTCAAAAGAAAGTTCCACAATCTTATTCATATTTTTAATAGTATTGTAAATATAGAATTATAGATGTGTTCATTTTCTATATTTATATTTTTTTTCATTTTTATATTTTTATAGTTTATTAATTTTATTATTTATTTATGACATTAAAGGTCAAAAAATTTGACCCAAAAGTTAAACTATTTATCTTTGTCAAATAATAAAATAATTTCATTTTTGGTTAGTTATAAATTATGTATACCACTTTCATCATCAATAAAAATAATTCTCATTTATTACACTTATTTTTTTTTAATTTGATTAATGAAAATATCATAAATGTTTCTAATTTTTTCTATATTTTTGTAATTTTTTATATTTGTTTCTATTTTAAAGATTTTATTACCTAACTATGACTTCATAAATTGATCGATTTGATTTGGATGGTTGAATTGCTTAGCCACCACTTGGATAAAGAATGATTTTGTTTTTGAGTCAATTTTAAAATATATAGGTTCATATTGTTACAAATATTGACATATATCTAGTTAGTAGCATATATTAGTAAAAAATAACTTAAATATAGGATTTAATAAGAGATGGACTAAATACACAAATATGGGCCTTTTCAAACTTTCACTTTGCACGTGTCAATTCTAGATGATGATGATGATTGTAATAATATATAAAAAAATTCTATAAATATGTATTTTAATTTTTTGTTTATATATATATATATATATATATATATATATATATTGTTTTTATTATTAATCAAATGCAAATTGTAAAATCAAAAATCCAAATCTGATTATATAAATACTGCATCCAAATATGTGATAATCGAACCGAGTTGTAAAGTTTAAAGTATCATTGAGAAGCCTACCTGTCTGGCTAGATTCTTCTTTCGTAATGTTTTATCTTTTTGGTGTTTGTTTTTGTTCATTTATCAAGAAATATAAGATTTAAATAAAAGGAATTGAATGAGGTGAAAAGTAGTAGCTCAATTTATAATTT